TCAAGTCAACATTCAGCCTTTAGGAGATACTTGGCATATTAACCATAACATGCTCTCTGCCTAGGAATCAGCCAACAATTCAAAGGAGACCTTGTCTGTGGATTTTAGTCACCTATCTCTATCTTCAAGCTCCAACTCATCCACAGCTTTTCATCTCAGTCCAGAGCCTGCTGCTTCTGGCTGTCACCTCATAAATTTGTTGGTGGAGGGGGGGGGGGACCAGGCTGAACTTGTCTCACGTGGTTGCATGTCTCAGTAACTAGATCTCTCAGATCCCACCTGGACTAAGACATTGCCAATTCTTTCAAACATTGCTTTATTCTTCTTTTTTTCACCACTAGCTTTATCGTTATTTGGCAGAGAAATTAATCTGACACAAGCTGTCTGCCCCCCTACAAAGAACCAAAAGCCTTATGCCATTCCCATTTGTTGAGTCCGTCTCAAGATTGCTCAAGTAGGTAGGAAGTGTTTTTCTTGGCAGACAAGTAGACTTGATCCTACATCAGTCTACAGAAAATATCTAAGATATTTAAGTAGTGTCTGGATTTGCTAAGAATGACACCGTCTTGAGAATATGAAAGAATTTGGGCATTCAGGGTCTACTGAAGCTCAACTGAAGAAGGTATTCACATTGCTTTAGAATTCTTTTCAAAAGTCAGGAAATGATCTCAAGGAGCCAAAGAAAGTAAAAAAGCCAACCTAATGAATGATGTGTGAGAAAGGCATTCTGAAGAGTTAGGCAGTTGCACTCTACAGGAAAAAGACCAACAAGAATATTTCTCAAGTATGAAGCTATTAGATTGAGGAACCATAGATAGGACCCACTGTTTCTTAGTAACATCTTGATGGATGTCACCTGTGTTTCACCTGTAACTCAAGAATGCTGAGGAGCAGTCACCCAGATTACATAAGATTATAACAGGGTCCTTAGGTGGAGTGAGGTGAATCCCTCAGGTGTCTCCAGCTCTGCCCACACTCAAGTGAGTAACCTTGATTACCTGGAAACACTGTTGTTTTCTCTAGGGAATTTTCTTTTCAATCCTGATTTGTCAGGCAGGGTCTATCAGGGAACAAAAGTCACAACTGTTATTTATTTGTGTGTGTGTGTGTGTGTGTGTGTGTGTGTGTGTGTGTGTGTGTGTGTGTACCATGTGGGTGGATACCCACAGAAGCCAGAAGACAGTATGAGATCCCCTAGAACTTGAGTTACACTTGGTTGAAAGCTGCCTAACATGAGTTCTGGCAAGCAAATGCAGACACTCAGAAAAAGAAGGAAGCACACTTAAGATTAACTGCCGAGCCATCTCCCTGACCTCCACATCTATTATTTTCACGCAGAGTTTAAGTGTAAGATTCAGAGGGAAATAAAAGAGCAAAGAGGGAATGTGGCAACCACAGGCATCAACCACCATGCTACAATGAAGCAAACCAGAGAGTTGCTGGCATAGCACAGGTTAGAGAGAGGCCCTGAGAGCTGGACTTCAGGCTCTGAAGAGGAGCCCAGGAGCACAGATTACTATTTTGGGGTTAAGAAGGGACTTGCATGCAGCGGATATTTTTGACACACATGATATTAAATAGAATAAAGTCCACTAGTGACAGTTTTGTAAGTCTACTTTAAAATACGCAATTGAGAACTGACTTAGACTTGTAACTTTTTTATGGTGGCATCTAAGTTTACATAGAGTAGGATAAACTCGTTCAATGAACTTCCAGTTTTCCTCCTAGGCTCAGTTTATTAGCTTCCATGACATAGGATGCCTTTGCTTACTGCCAAAAAAAAAAAAAAAAAAAAAAAAAAAAAAAAGACAGAGGTATTTAAGAAGGGAGATAAAATCTCTACATTCTCTTAAAGGTATGTGAAGTCCTGGGCTGAGCTCATAAACAGGACTAAACATTATTCAAAGGCTGCTTGAAGTTATTGCTAAAATCTGCCAGATTTATAAATAGACTAACCAAATCTGTCATACAAATGTAAAGGCCCAAAAAGAGATTTTGAACTTGCTTATTGGTGCTAATAGCAAATAATATTTGTTAAGTTCATAATTATTACATTTACAAAGTATTAAGTTTTAAAGGTACACATAAATGGGCAATATGGAAGAGGGGCACAAACCACCCAAGTCTCTTCTGCCTAGGACACTGGACTCTCCTTGCCCAGCTCTTGACCTTCTGGAAGAAGTCAGTCCTCAGCTTCTCTGGAAACCACGATACCATCATTCACCTCATAGTAGGTACTAGTAAGCTCCAGGCTTGGCTGCTCTGTTCTTCCTTTTCTCGCAAGCCAAGATGCCTCCTGGAGCAAAATGCCATAACATTAGACTTGGGGCTTGGGTTCCAATCCTTCCAGTCTCCAAGGAAGCAGGCACCTGGATCATTTTCCCACCACTGTATTTCTAGTGCCAAGAAAAGTGCTCATGCAGTGGAAGCTGTCCCTGAGTATAGTGGGTAACTTGGCACATAAATAAATGTGTACAGTGGTATACCATCATGCCACGGATATGCCGGTGACTATAAACCAATACACTCTGTTAATCTCACAGTTCTTCAACTTAGAACCAAGGTGTCTGGGCTGTGTAACTTTCAGGGAGCTCCCAGGCACAATGTTCCTTGCCTATGCAGCTTCCAGGGACTGTCCCTATTCCTCTGCTAAGGCCTTACTTCACCACTGAGATAGAACGACTGACTGCCCAATGACCATGTACCAATACATGTGTAATTAATCAGCCAAGACAGCACCTCTCCAAACACTTTCACTAAGCCTCCTGAGGCCTCAAACTAATACTGCCCTTCTAAAAGTACTTATGCAGAGAGTAAAACATTATAAATTTCTTCTGTCAAATAGAATCAGAAAGGAATACTTGAGGAGCGCATAATAAATGTAATACTGTAAGCATTCCCTCGAGGTCAAACACTCTGGAAGGAAAACCTCTTCAAGGGCTTTTTTTAGTGGTTTCTACATTCTACAGATGAGATGCTGCTCCAGGAAAACTTTCCTACCCAGAATAGGATGGCCGATGAAACCAAGGACGGAGGCCTGGCTCTGGAGAGGAGGCGATAGGAGAGTGATGCAGGTCTCACACAGGCAGTGCAAGCAGTTTTGAGGGCAGAATGCTTTACTGTTCAGCAAATTCAACCCAAACACACTTGCAGCACTCTGCATCGCAGCACCCATGACACAAACAAAACAGCATTTATTGTATCTATTTTGGAAACAAATAATAAGAAAGGAGTTCAGTTTGTGAGTTCCCTCAGAGCCCAGAGTTGGGATTACTGTCACTAAACTTCAACCTAGGGAAACCCCTGGCATTGACAGCAAGATGAATCTAATCTCTCTGGCACCAGGGGAAGGAAACCTGGTTAAAACACTCTTGCAACAGGTCTGATGGCCAAAGCCCACAAACGCCATAAAATGTTGATGTGTACAGTCTGGGATATTTCTGTACTAATACCAAGTGTGTCCAAAGAGAAACTTGTAAACTGTTTAAAGTCAGCAGCAATGGAGTTCGACAGCCTGTACACTTTCAAAACAAGAGCTCATGTATTATACTGACAACTGCTGTCCTTGACAGAGACAACCAAGATAAGAAAAACAGCATATTTAAAATATGCACTGTTAATCTTATCAATGAAAACAGCAAACCCAGACATGACTAATTAATTACTTTGCCTGGATCAACAAATAATCTCAAGTGTGTGTTTGGTGTACTAATAAGGACCTAGCCTTCAGTTAAGTTAAATAAACTGCAATGTTCTGCCCGCTAACACATGTTAATTAACTTATGGAGGACTTTTTTTAAAGTTAGTGTGTGTGTGTGTGTTTGTCCAAGTGTATGCATGCATACTACATGCATGCAGGTGCCCTTGGAGGATAGAAGAGGGCATCAAATCCCTGGGACTGGAGTTAAAAGCAGTTGTAATACAGGTGCAGAGAACTGAACCCACATCTTCTGGTCTTCTGTAAGAGCAGAAAGTGTCCTTGAACCAAGCCATCTCTCCAGCCCCCAACTTGTAGACTTTGGACATTTCTCTTTGTGTATGAGGTGTGTGTGTGTGGGTGTGTGTGTGTGTGGGTGCGTGAACGCGTGCGCATATATGGGTTCACACATTGTGTGTACATGTATGGGTGTATGTGTGTGTGCAAGTGCATGAGCACAGGTAGGTGACATTTAGACATTTCTCTTTTGTTATTTTCTCTTGGAAGGACCAAACTGAAACATTTTTAAAAACTAGATTTCTAAAGCAGAACCCCTGAAAACAAAGCTGTGGCGGTATTTCAGATCTTTGCTCAGAAGGGAGACACACCAAGGCTTGCATGAGAGTGAACGGCCTCTTCTTCTGTTGGTGGCTATGTATCAAGATCCCATCAACCAAATTTCCAAAGACTGACCAGATCCTGAAAGGCCCTCACACACCAAGAGCAGGATCAGGAGAAACTTTCTATGTTTTTCTCAGCTCTATTAGCAAGACCAATCAATAGACAACTACAAACAGGAAGCCAGGGATTCAACATAGTTAAAAAAAAAAAAAAAAAAAAAAAAAAAAAAAAAAAAAGTTCCCCACCCCCAATCTGGAGGGAACATTAGGGAGGACCTAGCACAGTAACAAAGCCTGCTGCCACAAACAGCATCATGAGACAGATTTGACAGGAATCCCAGACATTTCTGGATACTTTGTAATCTCAAGGAATAAACATCCCTCCAAATAAAATGTGTCCACATGCCCATCTCTCTCCATCCACGTAAAGCACACACACATTCCAGTCACTACACGTCTATGCTCAAGAGGCAGGCTCCTGACTCCAGCGTGGCCATCCCAAGAAGTCGAGGCACTTAGAATACCGGCCATTCCAGACAGCTCTGGCTCTCCCAGAGTTCTGAGGTATGTGAGTCCTGCCAACTACTGATCCTGGTGTTCTCAACTATTTCATCACCTTTTGAAGGGGTACACTTGTGTTTAGTTTGCAAACACACTCCACTGAAAATGAACAGTGCAAGGTCCGATGTGCAAATATTTGCAAACTTTGTTTTTTTTTTTGAACAATACACATTTTACAAATTCAAGTGAAATCCAGGTACAGACTAGGTTAGTTGCTGTCAGCCAGCCTCTCATATACACAACAGGAAAGTGGTCAGTTCCTGAAACTGGAGCAGGATTAAGGCACCGGTGACTGAGAAGGTTCACTCATGGAGTCTGGCAGGAAGCCCGAGAGGAACATGCTGAGGCTGAATATAAGACAGGGCTGCTCCAGCCTGGTAGATTCTCCTAGGTAAAGCCCTTCATGTAGATAGCACATGACATCTGGACATATGTAGGGATGATGGACCCCCTCACCCACGAATAGGATAATGCTTTCAAGGTAACTGCATTATAAGGACACAGTCCCAGGGCCATATGTGACAAGGGCTACAGTTGACTTCCATGCTATATATAACCTCTACTATTCTTTCCACTCATTGGCTTCTGCTACTTAGGATCTTTAGGGAAACTACAAAGGCCGGGGCACTATAGATGCTCATGTGTGGTCCAACCTTCTGCTATGGTAATGCCAGAGCATTATATACTAGGGACATCAGCCAGCCCAATAGGATGGGAAGGGCCCAGAGATGAGGATCCAGGTGAAGCAGGGTAGGCTTGACATCAGGAGAACAGTGGCATGAGGAGCTAGCTAGTCACAGACACCAGAGTGGGGAGGTTTGCAGATGTTTCCAGGGGGCATGGAGACTTGCCTTACACCCTAAAAAATAAGGCAGTGTCGCTCAAAGCAAGAGCCCCAGGATGATCCATGGAGGAGACACACCCATACAGTCCTCATTCCTGACTACAAAGTAGGCACAAGGAAACCCTGGAGGAGTCAGCTCAGCTGAGGGAAGCACAGTTCATCCCTGAGTCCTCCTGGCTGCCACTTGCTACATCTTCTAGTTCCAGTTCATCGGGGCTATCCAGGATGCTGGGCTCACTGGAGCACTGGCGGTGTGGTGGTGGGAAACTGGGTGGCAGGAGCAGATGCTTGTCCTCACTGCCAGCCTCCTCCCCCAACCCTGAGTGCATCATGGTGGCCATGGCCAGCAGCTGGATGTCCGAGTGTGCATTGGCCACTGTGTGCCGCCGAACGCTGCCACACTTCTCCAGATACGCCTCTCCTTCCTGCTCTGTTAGTGGAGTCAGGACCATCTCCCGGCCAACAGAGCTCATCAGAGAGGCATAGTTCAGGACTGTCACCTTAGGCCGGACCCTGGAATGCCTCCTAGCTGCAAGAGAAAGAGCAACAATGTGACTGAGGAAAGGTAACAGACAGTGATCAGAAGTTTCTCCTGAGATGGAGAGGGAGGGAGGAGTAGTTCAGCTTCCAGGAATAGCTTTAGGTAGGGGCCCACTGAATACAGTGGAGGACAGGACCATCTAAATGTCATGCAGTTTTACTTGTTTATACCAGATCCTGTATCCAGTTAACTAGAATCCCACAATGAACAGTCACCTAAAACTTTCCTGGATGGAGTGAACACACAATGCCCCCCTTTCCTGGTGCTGCCTGAGCCTCACTGAATTGGCCTCTAATTCCATTGTAACCTTCTTCCCTGAAGACATACACATTAGCCAGGGATTCAGAACCCTGCTCAGAAGGTGACAGACAGCTGCATGTCAGGAGGGTTGGGCTGCCTCAAGAAAGTGGTTGCCTTCCAAGCCTGAGGACCTGAGTCTGATCCCAGGACTAAGCAAAAAGGCCAGATGCAGTGACCTGAGCTGGTAAGTCCAGAGCTGACAGCTCTGGGGACAGATAGATCCTTGGGGCTGGCTGGTTAGCCAGCCTAGCCTATCTGGCAAGTTCCAGGCCAGTGAGGAACCCTTTCTTAAAAACAAAAACAAACAAACTCAAACCAAAATCCAACCAAATAAACAAAAAACCCAGGCACTAGGGAGATCACTTAGTGGATAAAGCACTTGCTACAGAAGCCTGAGGACCAGAGTTCAGATCCCCAAAACCCATGTAAATACCATGTGGGTATGATACCTGCACTCAGAAGGTAGAAACAGGAGATCCCTGGAGCAAGTCACCTAGCTAGACTAACCTGTATCAGTGAGCTCTGGGTTCAGTTGAGAGCCCCTGTTGCCATAAATCAAGTGGAGAGTACAGTCTATAACTGTTGCTTTTTAGCACTATGTTGCAGAAATTTCATATGCATGAGGCTTTTGAGGGATAAGCCTGTTATCCCAGCTACTCTGGGAGCTGAGACATGAGGATCTCAAGTTAAAAATCCGCCTGGGCTACAGAGCAAGTTCAAGGCCAGTCTAAGCAACTGAGACTTTGGTGTACCTCGATGGTAGAACATTTACCAAGCATGAATGACGACCTAGGTTCAAATCTAATAACCACAAAAAAATAAAGTATTTAGCATGCATTCTGGACTCCTGATAGAAGCTGAACCTAAATCATAACACATCGAGATAGTACTAGTGTCTACTTTAAGGAGGAGAAAGCTAAGAGGTAGGATATTTACCCAAGGTAGCACAGCTAGAACACAGTCAAGCGGGACTCAATGAGTTCTGCATCACTCCAGACCTTGCTTTCCCTAGCTGCCCATACAAAGCCCACCAAGAAATATTACAGGCAAAGAACCTTGAGGGAGGGAGGACAAGCCAGTGGGGCTCACAGGTGGGAAAAAGTGTCTAGGATAATCAAGATACTAGCTAAGGATGGACACTGGAATGCGCCTTCAGAGTGGTAGAAGGTCTTGAAGAGGATGGATGAGGCAACATTCTGAATGGTGAGACTAGCCTGAGCAAGTTGCTCGATGAGCCCTAGGGTCGCAGCATTGCAGGAACTCAACATATAGGAACTAAGTGTGTCCTAGGAGGGCCCTGTGATGACAGGTGAAGTATCTGTGACACACGGGCTAGGCTGGGGAGAGGATAGGATAGGCTGTGCTTCAGGAAAAGGGCCCTAGCAGGGGATGGAGCATGGGAGAGGAACAGTCAGAAAAGCCAGGGAGGGAGCAGAGACACATGGGGAAAGTGAATGCCAATATCCAAGTAAAGAAAAGAGGTGGCTCACAGGAGAGAGAATGGCTCACAGGAAGGTCAAAGTGACAATGGGCTGATGACACCAGTTATGATACTACAGAACTCATGGGATGGGCTGTGGAGGAGCAGGACTCAGGGTGACTTGAATCAGCACCCTCTGAACTCAGGTAATACCAAGGGCCACCCCATCCCATGGGTGCTCACCAAGAGGCTGGTGTCTTGAAGAGGGAATTAAATGAAGAATGTTAACAGACAATAAGAACCTGTGCACAGTACTTGTTCTCTCGGAGGAGCACATTTCTAGAATGTTCTCACATTCTGAGGACAGTCAGGGGATTCTTTTACGATCATAAAAATGAATATGTCTACAAAAGAAGCACGGGAAGACTTCACAGCAGCAAGGACCCAGCTGAAGAACCAGCCTCCAAACAATGCCACTGTAGCCAACAACTCATTTCTCACACTCCTTTTACAACCACGTCCTGTAGACCAGTTGGAGGGAAACCCACAATCAGCCTCAAAGAAGCTGGGTCCAGCAGTTTCAGAGGATATGTATTAAAAGCCAGTCTCTGTTCCTGAGGCACAACACCCATCTGCAAGGTGCGGTATCTGCAGAAGCCAGAGCCAAAGAGAAGACGAGGCTTTTGGCTGTGAGCATACTCCCAGGAGCTGGGAGGCCCTCTAGTTGGGGAAGAGAGCCACTGAAAGCATCACACAGATATGAGGTTGAGATGTTATATACGCTAAAACCTGAGACAGACAGACTAGCCAGCACAGCCGTCCAGGCAGAGCACAGGGTTGGAGCAGGGGCTGATGCTGTGGAGGACACAGGAGAAGCTGAGGGAATGCAGACTCAATGTGTGTAGCTAAGACACACTGCATAGCTGGCTGAAGGATTTTCATGGACCTCAACCTGCTGGAATCAGCCCAGGAAAGGTGTCTCTGAGGGTTTTCTGGACATCATCCATTTTTCACTGCAGTCAAGTCATTGAAGGGTTCTACAGGCAGTGAATTGACAAAAGGCCACTTTGGCAGCGACTGAAAAGAGCTGATAACTGAAGCCAGAGTGAGACTGAGACAGTCTTGGGGGGTGGGAGTGGGGTGTGGAGAACCTCAGCCTTCAGCAAATACTTCCAGAGCTACACTTTGCAAAAAGTTACACTACCTGCTGAAGAGAAGAGAAGCACGACTTTGCTAGATGGTGGGGTGGGGGTGGGAGGAAGTTGGAGAAGCCTGCTGGGCACTGTGCCCCAAAGGAGCACATCATCACCATCACCTCCTTTGGGTTGCAGAAGAGGAACATGAAGTATGCAGTCACAATGACATACAAAGCTGAGACTCCAGTCTGGGCCACAGGAGAGCTGCTGTGCATGACCTCCACAAGCTAGATAGAGGTCGGGTTGGTTCAGTAGCAGTAACAGGGCATTACAGGAAAACGTTAGGTCAAGAGAAAAGCAAGCATCTCTGGCCTGCTCGCAGACCTAACACTTTAGTGGGTCAGAGTCTATGAGCTGGCAAAGCAGGGTCACCTTAAGCCATGATAAAGAGATAGGTAGAATTGCTATCCCTTTAATGAGACGTTGTATTCTCCCTCCTAGAAGACCCACCCTTAACATAGTGCCCAAAGTTCAACTGGGTCTGCCTACCTTTCTGAGAAGGTATAACTTTGCTCGCCTGCCCTGGGTTTTGTTTTGTTTTTTTCTTTTTAATATTTTTATCTATTCTTTGAAATTCAGTGCTCTGTTTTGATCATATTCACTTCCAACCCTTCTCCCCAAGTGAAGCCAGATCCACTCACCCTCCTACCAACTTTGAGTCCTTTTATTTATTTCTTTTTAAAATATGTATTTATTTACCTTTGAGACAGGGTTTCGCAGTGTAGCCCTGGCTGTCCTGGAACTCACTCTGTAGACCAGGCTGGCCTTGAACTCACAGAGATCCACCAGCCACTGCTTCCCGAGTGCTGGGATTAAAGGCTTGAGCCACCACTGCCCAACTAATAGGAAGTTTTTTAATTCAACTCCTATAAAGTTGTCCTTCAGCTTTCTCTTAAATTTTTATTAATTTTATTAATGAGATCAAGAACCCCAACAGGGGATCCTGGTCTCCCTGATATCAATGTGACAAATGTCAGAACAGAAGGAACAGATAATCTTGTATGGTGTGTACATGTGGTATACGTATGTACATTCGGGTAGACATGCATAGGAAGGCCAAGAAGTTGTCATCCGTATCTCTCTCAAACACTTCTCCACCTTATGCTTTTGAAACTGGCTCTCAGCCTGAACCTGGGCCTCACCAATTCAAGTAGACTAACTGGCCAGCAAGCCCCAAGGATCCTGTACCTGGGGTAAAAGGTGTACCAGCATGCTCAACGTTTCAACGAGGATTCTGGGGGATTAGGTTTGAGTCCTCACCCTTGCACGGCAAACACTTTACTGACTGAAGCATGGGTAAGACTCAAGACACACAGACCTCTCTAGGGCTTGGGGTACAAAGAAGAACGTGCCCCATGCCTTGCACAGTTTAAGGGGAGGGCTGGCAGATCATGGCAGCACAGTGTGACAGGGTCTGGAGTCAGGGAACGATTAATAGGTGACCTCACACCTGAAGGAAGAGTGGGGGGGCAGGCTACTCCTAAGGGGCCCATAATGTAACATGGCATAGCACTGCGTGGCTCCGCCCTCAGTGCTGCTTGCTTCCTCTGGCTTCTCCCAGCAGAAGGCCAGGACTGGTGTTCAAGCCACATGCAGGTCACAGAAGGTAGGTAACTAACACCAGATCACACAGCAGAGCTCTGACCCTAGTGGTCACCACGGCCCCACTCTTCCCACCTTGCCTCCTCTCTTACCCTGCAGTGCCCTGCAGGAGAGGCATACACCTAGCTCTTCATTCTGCTTTCTTGAAGAATGTTTTGGTTCCCAAGATGGTGCTGGAAAAGCCAAGGCCACAAGAACCTCATGGTTTGCCAAGTGTCCTGGAAGACAGTGCTTCCTTGGTGAGCTGCCAGTCACGGAGCTAATCCTTGGATAAGTCAGCAAATCGGTCTCCAAGGAGAGACTGAAAATCAAAGGCTAGGACTTGGGCTGACAGGCAGGCAGCTTCCTACTCTTGGGCTCATTATCTTCTCCCTCTCTTCTTTGCACCAGGGATGGCAGTACCATATCCCCAGGGAAAAGGGAACAGAGTCTCCCACTGAGGGACTTATTGTGACTGTCTTCCTAGGGTCACCAGAGACCTAAAGACTAGGCTTTCCTGGCAGTGGGACAGTTTTGCGGGGAGAGGCTGGTCTGCCACCTCAGCTGGCACCCACTCTCAGGCCACTTCCTCTTCCTCCTTGACTTTCACAAAGTAGGGTGAGCAGAGCCTTTATTCCCTCCGCACAGGCCCTCAACCCGGCCAGGCGTTCATCTCCACAGAAACCAGCAAGGGTCGCTCCTTTCAGACTCCTAGGGCGGCAAAGCTGTAGGGCGGACCTTTGTGGGGGATTGGATCCCCAACAGGCCTTTGATCTTCTCCCAGAATGCCCCTGCCTACCAAAACCGTTGAGGGCTCCTGCACTAGTCCAGAACCTGAGAGGCCCAGGCAGCTTTTGTCATGCAGAGAAGCTAGTGTCCAGCTACAGGGCTGGCAACAGAGGGGCCCCAGGAATACAAAGGAGGGAGGCTATGGGAGGCTAGGGCTTTTGTGAGGGAGGAATCTAGCTTCAGAATGTTTGCTGCAGAGCAGGGGCCCTGAGAGGTACAGGAAACCCTAAGCAGCTCAGGAATTTGGGCAACTTGAAAGGTAGCACTTGGGTCAGGCATGTGTTTTTGTTGTTCTTTTAGTTTCTTAATGTTGCCCTCCTCACCTGATACTACCATTGTCCTCTTGTAATAAAAGATAAAAGTGAGGCTTTGGAGGGGAGGGCTTGCACATGTGTGCAACACACACACACACACACACACACACACACACACACACAGAGATCACTTCTCTGTTATTCTAAAGCACAACTCCCTGTCCTGGTCCAGCAAGTGATTGTCCCTGCATCTCTGGAATCAGAGATGCATGCATACAACAGGGATACAGGGTAAGTACCTTTCTTGCCTGCAAAGCTGGGGCATCTCTCAGGGATTCCAAGAGTAACAGTAGCAACACCCTCCTCAGGCCATGCAGACCTGTCAACAGCCTGGACAGGAGTGTGCAGCACAGCCATTGGTTGAGTGGCTTTTCAGATGATGTCCCAGCTGCCTTGGCAATCTCATGCTGCTCTGGTCTCAGCCACAGCCGTGCCTCAGATAAAAGGATCTCTTGTGACCCCAATGTGACTCATAAAATTTTTTCATTGTCCATTTTTTAAAACGTGTATGTGTGTGCGCACCTGAGTGAATGCAAAGAAGTCAGAGGTATTGTAATTTCCCTGGAGCTAGATTTTACATTGGTGGCTTGTAGTAGCTTCTAGAAACTGACCTTGGATTGTCTGCAAGAGCATTATGTGTTGTTAACCTTTGAGCCTCTCTTCAACCCCTCAATTATTGTCTTAATACCCCTCTGCCCAGACTGAATGCATGTTATTTTCACCATCAATAGAGGGCTCTGTCCCCATATGGTAAGGAAGGTCACCTCAGCTTTTAACATGCAGAGGTCTGCTGTGATGAAATGTCTGGCCTGGGACACCTCCTAGACTAAAAAATACTAACATTGGTGATCCTTCCCTTTTAATGCAGGCATGGCGACCCTACTCCACAGCCCATCCAGCACAATGCCTATGATTTGGCCTGTGACGAGCACTGTTTCTTGCCACTAGTGACATTGAACCTCTGAAGCTCCTTCAGTTCCTCAAGTGTTCCATCTTCTGGCCCTCCCACAACCCCCTAGTCCTTCCAATGGTCCTTCCTGACTGGGTAATCTTCCTCCTTCCTGTTTACTCAGCTAACTCCTGCTCATTCTACACTTCCCGAAACAGACATCACTTCCTCCAGGAAGCCTTCCCCTGTGTCCTGTCTGGGTGGTCCCTGTGCTTCCCCCTCAGAGCATCCATATACAGATGAGTCTCTGTCTTACCTTCACCCTCACTGGACTGTGGGTATGGATACGTCCCATTTTGCTCACTGGCACATGTGTAGCAGCACACAAGGTACCTGGCAGAGAGTCTGATGACACATCTGCTGAGATTATTACTAAATGGAATAATAATTTTAAATTGCTCAAAAGAGGATAATCGCCACCCTCTGTCCCTTTGAAGACAAAGTCCCTTTCAAAAAACAAGGACTGAGATGGCAGAATGGCTTAGCAGGTAAAGGTGCCTGTCAACCTGAGTTAGACCCCCCAGAACCTACATGATGGAAGGAGAAAATGGTCTCCCACAAGCTGTTCTCTGACTGCCATACTTGGATTGTGGCATGTGTGGTTGGACATGTATGTGCATGTACGCATAGGCATATGCATGCATGCACACACACACACACACACACACACACACACACACACAAGTAAATAAAATAAATGTAATTTTAAAAAATACACTGTCCTTCATTCAAGAATAAAGTTTCAGGGCTCGTCATATCTGACAAAAGCATATATTGTTCTCATCTGGGCTGAAGAGCCAGACACAGCTAGTCTTAGAGTTCTCGTATCTTCTCTTATTCCAGGCATAGGAGACCAGAATGTGCCTCCTCAAAACATGAAGGAGGGGCTGGAGAGATGGGGTAGCAGTTAAGAGCACTGCCTGCTCTTCCAGTGAACCCAGACTCAATTCCCAGCAGCACATGGTGGCTCAAAACCACCTGTAACTCCAGTTCCAGAGGAATCAATGCCCTTTTCTGGCCTCTTTGGGCACTAGACACACAAGAGTACACATACAGTCAAAACACCCATACACGTAAAATAATAAAATAAATTTTAAAACATGAATGATTAGTGAACTAAAAGCAATGAAGAAGCAGGTTCAAGCTGGAGGATCAGAAGTTCAGGCCATCCTCAGCTACATAGCAAGGTTGAGGCCAGCTTGGGCTACATTAAGACCCTGTCTCAAAAATTACTGTTCTTTATTAAAGATACGACATAAACAGGAATTCAAAGCCAACTATTTGAAAACTACTTGTTCCCTGGATGTCTCTCCTGCATGTGAGAACACGTTTCAATACACTTGTTTGCTTTTCTCGTTAATCTGTTACAGGGATCTGTTCCAACTAAGGGCTTATGGGGGTTGAAGAAAAGTTATTTTTCTTCCCCTCTGTTGGCGTTAGGCCCTGACTATGGTAGAGCTCTTGGCATAACTCAGCTAACTCACTGGCATCCTGACATCTCCCTGAGTTCCCATCCCTGAAATGACATGAGCCCAGGCAGTAATAAGGAAGGTAGGCTCCATGGAGACTGTAGCAATATAGCATCCATCCTAGGGCAGAGGGTGGGAGACTCTCTCTCTTCAACAGCTTTCTGATCTTATGTGATGGGAGTGAGGGAGAGATCAGAGATTAAAGCTATGGACAGACCTGGGGGGTCAGCTGACTGGAGCCAGTCTCCACCAGTCTGTGGATACAGTGAAGCTAGTACCTTCAGAGAAACAGGATCCGGGCCAGGAAAACTGCCAATAGAAGGCTTAGCCTTACACTCAGAGAGACCCAGGAAGGGCAGCAAGCTCTCTGGAAACTGTTCCTTGCCCCCTTGGCTTTGAAGCTCTACCACAACTCTACCACAGAAGAAAGAGGGCCAAGAGATTCGACTCCAGGTGATATTTCCTGATCTGTACCTTTCTGTGAGTGCCAGCTGCCCAGGCTTGGGAATACAACTGCCTGCATGGGTCTAACAAGAAACAAACCCTCTCCTCCCCTATGCCCAAGTTGCTTTTGGTCATAGTGTTTGATGATAGCAATAGCAACCGTGACTAAGGCAGGTATAATCTTAAAAATACAGTTTCTGGTATTAGATAGAAGACAATTAATGACCAGGCACATATAAAGATAAAAGTCATTGATCAAAGATGTGGATGAGACAGGTACCACTACAGAGGCTGGGATCAGTCTCTCAGGAAGATTGGTAGAGGCGAGGGGTTACTGCCATATGGCCTAGAAACATCTATAATTAACACACCAAGATTTGCACTGGCCTCCACTGGAACAAAGTGCTGGGCAGACAGTCGGTGCTTGGTACCATGGGGCAGGTTTCGTTATCCCCAAGCCTCTAGACTTTAAAGTAATGTTCATCTTACCCAGTGAGTACGTGGGGCCTGCGCAGCTGCGGTCCCCACTGATGCCAAGGAAGGGAGACACCACTTGCTTCACCAGCTCCTCCAGCTGCAAATAGCCCTCAGTTGGGCCTGTGGGCTCATGAACACTCTACAAATAAACACCCAAGACAGGTAAAGGTTAGTGAAAAGTGTCGTAGCTTTGGACAATTGTCAGCGCCTGCCAGTGATCCTCCTCTGAGTATAAGGCAGTATGGCCACAGTCAGCCTCCTTGTGGTTAGAATGAAGGAAACAGGACAGAAGCACTGGTCATTTATCCCGGGTCAATGGATGAGAATAAAAGAGGACAGGAAATGGAGATGAGGCAAGAGGTGGGTGAGAAAGGGTAAATGTAAGACTTGGAGCTGGCTCTCCCAGGTCCATGGGCAGTGGGGACACAGCTTACATTGAGCCTTTCAGAGTGGTCCTCATTCCTCGGCCCCTCTGCCAGGTTGCCTAGCAAAACACAAATGTCAGGTTTTCCTGGCCCCGTGCAAAATGAAGATGCAGGACCCTCAGTAAGGACACTGAGTGGAAGATGAGAGAATAATTAAACCAGACACTAAGAGACAAGTGGATCTCTGAGTTTGAGGCCAGCCTGATGTACAGAGAAATTTCCAGGACAGCCAGGGCTACACAGAGAAACCCTGTCTCAAAACAAAACAAAACAAAACAAACAAACAAAAAAAAACCTAAGTCGGGCAGTGGTGGTACACGCCTTTAATCCCAGCACTCGGGAGGCAGTGGCAGAGGATCTCTGTGAGTTCGAGACCAGCCTGGTCTACAAGAGCTAGTTCCAGGACAGCCTGCAAAGCCCCAAAAAAACCCTGTCTTGAAAAACCAAAAAACAAAAAAAAAAAAAAAAAAAAAAAAAAAAAAAAACCTAAACTAAACCAGAAACTGGGCCTTCTAAGAACAATATCTGGGTTCTCCCCTGACTATGCAGGTAGCATAGTCCTAACTCTCTTGCTCTAAAGGGGCAGGGTGGCAAGGCCCAACAATTATCATACCCACGGAAGAGTGATGAACTTACCCACAGCACACAGGCACTTAACAAAAGCACTGCCTATGTACTAACCCACAGGCCTCCCAAGAACCCTTCCAGTGACCAGAAATAAACACCACGAGGAGGCTTAGGAAACTTGCCTAGTATAACACAGCCAACAAGTGACAAAAACAAAGTGACAGTAACAACAACAACAAAAGCCCCACTGTATTGAAACCCAAGCTATCTGGCTCTGAGCCCATGTGACTGTCACTTGTTACCAGGTTAGAAAATGGAGAGAAAGCACCGAACCGTCCAGAACAGGAGAAAGAAGAGCGGTTCTGAGTCAGATATCAGCAGTCCAGCATGGCCAGAGTCCTTAAACTAAGCCTTGGGTAAAAGCCAACCAAAATAAATGCATGACAGCCAAAACTGGAAAGGGACGGTAAAAACCCGCTTTCTAGAAAACCAGCAGGCTCCTTGTGAACTCATTTCTCACGAGAAGGGGTGTGAAAATGTGCCCTCCTGCTGAAGCAGAGACCACCAGGAAAGGGCCAAGGGCCTGAGGAGGAAAGAAGGAAGGCTTCAGGGGTCTCTGTGCTTAGCCAGAGATTATCTCCTTGAATTCTCAAAATAGACCCTGATTGGCTTTCCTTAAAGGGATAAAGCTCACCATGCCCCCACCCCCAACCGAGTTGTCTGTGGAGTGAAGCAGGTGGGGCTAATCCTGCTGATTAGGGATCCATGGGTGAGATGTGGTTCCCAAGGAAACAAGCTCTTCCTTGGTCCTCCTCAGCTACATCAAATGAGATGCATATGCTTGGGTGTTGGATCGTTTAAGGAAACAAGAAACCTAAGAAGAAACTACAGGTGTAGGCAAAGTTTGCCGTCTGAGACAAAAAAAAAAAAAAAGGAGGGAAGGGACAGTTGCAGTAAGTGACTGTTCATTGGGATGAACTTGACTGTGGCACTAGGAATAGCCATGGCGATTGTCCACACCCTCTGTTCCAGCTCCACTCCCCTGAGCTCAAGCATTAGAATGTGTAGCATTGGAAAGGAAAAGGAAAAGAAAATAAGCTGCTTGACTTAGGAAGACACATGAAGGCCCACCCAAACCACAGGAGGGCACTCAAGGCAGTAGGAAGAAAAAGGTACAGGGACATTACGAGACCTCATGGCAGAGCATTCCAAGCTATAAAACCACCTTCATTAGGACTCAAAGCCTGGGAAACATTTGTCTTTCTTTATTTCTTCTCTAGATAGTTCTCATCAACTTCTTCTCTAGCCTTTCCCCCAAAAGGGACATGACAGGAAACAGAAGTGGCAAAAGGGAGGAGGAAAAGGGATGATAATACAGCTTGGAGCTGGGCAGCTCTCCTTAGGATGAGAGCATCCTTAGCCTTCTGTCCCACTTAGCAAAACACGGTCAGTAGATGACCACTTTTCATGGCCCATTATGAAATAAGATGCTGAGCCCTACATTCAAAGCCTATTGAGAATGTTGAGTGGGAGAGGGGAGACTATTAAACTAGGCACAGGACCCTCCAAGGATAATGTCATACACCTTGCCTCTTTGGCAGGGCCCCCATACTGACTGAAGACCTCCCTCATTTATCTTCCTGTAAGAGAGGGATTGGCTTAAGAATGTGTGGAAGGCTGTGGGAAAGAGAGCTAAAGCCTGAGAAAGGCTTTTTTTTTTTTTTTTTCCTTTTTTAAATCAGAGTCAGGTCACTTTGGGGAAATCATCGCAGGTCTTGTGTCTCTTGGAGAGTTAAGGGCCTAGGAAAGAACAGATAATCCACAGTACATTCCCTGCAGCAGGTGTGCTCCAGCATGGATTCCCGGGACATTCTATTCTGACTCCCAAGCTGCTGCCCCTCAGGCCCCAGAAAATAGACTGAGGAAAGATCTGGACTGAGGAAAGATCTAAATTCATTGTTGTCATCCTTCCTGCCTCAGCTCCGTGATATCCAAGGGAGAAAGGGGCCCAGGAGACCCATCCCCAGGAGGCTCAGAAGGAAAAGATGCTAAGCACCCCGACCTGGAGTGTGACCATCTTAGAAGTTCTAAGGTGTTTCCAGCACCGAGGTGGAGATAGGAAGGAAGGTTAAAAGGACCAAGAGAGTGAAAGATGGGAGAATGGCTGACTGGTCCAGCTCCCACAGATCAGTCTGTACTCCTGTTGGTTAGCTAACCTCTCATCCATCACCTTGACATGGGAAAACCAAGATCCACAGCAGAGACTGTTTCCTTGCCCAATTTTCCAGAATTCCATCACAGCCACAGAGCTTCTCTAGCTGTATTTCACTCTTCTAAAAGAAGCGGCCATCATGGGACTCAAGGCCAGGGACTTGGGGTCCTCCTTAGGTTCTTACTAGCTGGCTCCATCACTTTCTAGATACCTGATTCTATGATCAACACTGGGCTGGATGCTTAGGATGCAAGCATAAGGAAGAAGCTTAAGATTTGCTTCGACTGTTCCAGACAACCATGTTTAGAGCAGAGGAAAAGTGAGCACCAAGATCCCGGCCCCACAGGGACCAAGAAGGATGGAGCACCAGGGAAGCCAGCTTCTAATATCTGATGGGAAGGTGGAGCAACTGTAGGCCCAGGGACAGTCTTGAAAAGATTTCCTAAGATCAGCCACAAAGAGTTTCAGGTACACAGCCTGGCGGGTAAATGGGACATAGTCAGAGTGGATAGAAGTTCTTCTGGTACATCTTCAGGGCCTTTAAGGGGTGGTCTGGTTGATCTACACAGGGCCCAGAAACTCAGAAGGCTTTCAATAATAGAAACAGGTCCTCCTGCTCAGTTGGGGAGAATCCTCAGAGGGCAGCCATGACAACTACTAGAAAGGGATGTGTGGTAGTTAATCCTGACTGTCAGAATGGAAACGCCCCTTGGGGAACATGCCTGCATGTCTGTGAGGACTTATCTAGATCAGGTTAATAGAAGTGGGAAGATCCACCCTACACATGAACAGCACATTTCCCTGTGCTGGGGGTCTCAGGCTGCACAGAAAGAGGAACCCAGCTGAGTACCAACATTCATCCCTCTCTACTTGCTGATACACATACAAGATACGGTATGGCCAGTTGCCTGGCCTTCCTGTTGCCATGCCTTCTCTGCGGTAATGACTGTAAGCCTAAATAACCCTTCCTCTTTTAAGTTGTTTTTCTCAGGTATTTTGTCACAGCAAAAGGGGAAGTAACTAATACTGGATGCCTCTCCGAAGCATTACAAATGAAAACAGAAAGTGGAGCCCAACTTCCTAACCTCACTTCCAGAATCCTCTGGGGCTCCTTTTCTACACTCTGTATTTGGGAGCTAAGCTCTGTGTTTAGTACTTCAGATGCAGCCTGAAGATACTTTGCCATGTCCATCCTTTTCTTCCTTTCTACAAAAAGGCTGGACCAGACTGGTGCCCATCCTTTCTGATTATAGGAAAGGGGGATATTCAGAAAGGTGGCCCCATGATAGTTAAAAGCACAGCAGCTAGGGGAGATGGGGCTGGTGACATTCCACCAGTCATTACCTGATGGAGGCTAGAAACTGAGAACTGCACACCCATCTATGGGAAAGGGCTCCCCAAGGCATGTTAGTTCCACCTGACCTCACTCAAGGTCACAGCTGATTGGGCAGAAGGGATCCCCAACCCAACATGTGCCAATTGGATCCCTTCCCCAAAGGAGGCAGCAGGATGTTCTGAGTATTAGAATCTTACCACCTTTTACCGGCTCAAGGATTTCACTCAAGCGTAGAAGCACCCTGTTTTTGTTTCCTTGTCTGGAGCATGGGAATAACAACAATGCTGACCTCATAAAACGGTTATTTGGATTGTTTAAGAAAACAGTACATTTATAGTCCTTGTGCCTGCACCTGGCAAACAACCAGAGCCTGAGAAGTGTTAGCTCATCTTCCTGTTGCTGATTTAGGGTTGGGACAGCATGGAGCCATCTGGGTAGTGTCTTGCTGGAAACAAACACCACAACAAGTCACATGTAATCTGACCCAAGTAATTCCACACACAGAGAAAGATTAAGTCCAAGAGCAACCAGGCAAGGCCACAAGAGACAGTATCACAGAAAAATAAGGAAGAATGATCCAAATGGAGGCCAGGAAGAGACAAGAGCTGGTGGCTCTGAGACCCACCTAGGAGTTCTAGGTCTATCTTGACTCAACTCTGGTAGATACTTTGTCATTATTTGCACTACCTGGCTCCTTGACATAGTTGAAAAGCACGGAAGAGCATCTTCTCATCACTAGCTGGCACCACAATGAAAGCTTACTTTTGTGCTCAAAACTCTGGGTTGGGTGCTGAGGACACAGCATGAGGAAAATGCTTAGGATATGCCTTGACTGTCACAGACAACAGAGCATTCAGAGCAGAGAGAATGCAAGCACCCAAGTTCCACCCTCACAGGGACTGAGAAGGCCACAGCACCCAGTAAATTAGGTTCCAGGTCCTTTTTTCTCCCCTTACTCCAATGCCAGCACCAAGTACAGCACTGGGGTCTGGCAGGTGCACAGCAAATACATGAGCCAGTGAACCAAGAAACACAGATGAACAAGCAGAAGAACACACAGCTTAGCTACACTCTGTTGTTAGACCTCCTTCCACCTCCACCATGGCAGGATTATGTTTGCTGGCATAAGGGGCAGGCCTCCCCCAGCACTCACCTGCAGAATGAGCAGCATTTGTACAACAGATGAGGGCAACTTGGACTGTGCCAACAGTAGCGAGTCACCTAGCTTCACCTTCAGCAGGACCAGGTCCCGGAAGCCCAGCAGGGAGATCTGGCGGATGGTCAGCTCCTGTCCCTGGGGAAGAAGACAGGTGGGAAAGTGAGAGAGCATTTGCTGGGTCCCCACCAGCCTCGAGTAGTCTAGGGGGAGTGTTCACAGTGTATGCAGGATGGACTGGGTCAGGCAATGTGCAAGGCTTGTGGGCTGTCACAGAAGACCCAGGGCTTGTTTCTTCAGGCATTAAGACCAAGGTATGGACCAGCCTGTTTAGATAACCCAAAGACAATAGAAGACGCATGTAATTGGGGCCATGCTGTCAGGGGATTTCAGTGGTTGGGAAAAGGAAAAGAGAGGAAGGGAGGAGAAAGAGGCAGAAAAGTTTACAACTCTCTCCTCACTTCGAGGCTGCTTTTTCAATTTTGTCTGTTAATTACTGAAGTTTCATCATACATCAGGCAGCATCAGCCCTTACGTGGTTAGCTTCTGATAAAATCCCAAGTACCCAAGGAGGAAAAGTGACTTGTAAGTAGGAAGAGTGTCACTATTTCAGCTGTGGGGGTAGTGGGCAAGAGATAAAAATACCAATGGTCACAAGAGTTTGCTTCTGCAGGACCCTTAGCATTGAGATGTAAACAGTGCATGCATGCAATCTCCACTTTCCTGTGGTTTGTGTATGTCCTTTCAAACTCCTCTGCTGGAACCCTTGGAGAGGCATTTTTACAGTTTTGAAGATTTATGTGTAAGTGTGTGTGAGAAAGGGAGATAAACTTAACTAACCCCATGTCATCTGTCTGTGGAGCCGGGGCCTGGACTCTCCTTGGAGACCTGGCCATGCTGTTCTCTGTCTGTCCACAGTGTTAGTAACCTTCCAATAGTCTTACTACAACAATCCTTAATGGTCCTCTCAAAGCCATCTGAGATGATGCAATGTACTCCTCAAGGTTTTTGTTTCTATAGCATTAAAATGATTACAAATTACAAATGAAAGGTGCTTTTACTTGGTCTTTGTTAGGTCCCAGGCAGCATATATGTCCAGAAATGACATTCTTAGCTTAGTTAAAGCTGGACTAGAGAAGGACTTCTAGCTGTCAGATAAAACCCAGCATTCCTTAGCAACTTGTGAAATGGGTTTTTACCCATCAAAAGGAGTCATTTCCTTTGCACTCTGGCAGAAGGGACACATGGGTCTCCACTGACATACACCGGGGTGGTTCCATATCAAAGCCCATGCTGGCCTCCGTCCTTATCCACAAGTACTTATTGTACATCTCATGGACCTACAGTAGCCTTCTGGACCTTCTCACGCCTCCACTACTCTGCATTATGCTAGCCCCCAGGCTATTCCAGATCCCTTTATCATGGCAAGGTGTTACCCACCCTCCATTCTCTACTATTCTCTCTCTTGCTATTCTCCCCCACTTTCCTAGCCCATGTCCAGTCTGTCTCTTTTTCTTGTGGCTCTAAACTCTTCCAGATGCCTTTGGATGTTCTCTCTCTCTCTCATCCACAATAAACCCTTTCCCCCTAATCATGGAGCAGACATCTTAGCAATTTCTGTACTGCTTTTTTTCACATACAGTTTTATTCTTTTACTACCTAAAAGGCTGGGAAGCTGGGATTACACACACTTGAAAGCTAGATGGCTAGGGATGCAAGTCTCAATACTAGCCTTCATTACTGTTTAGGTCAAGCTACTTGATGATACAGTATGGTGGGGGAATGAGAGGCACTATCCAACTTTTGTTCATGCCCCCTCTGCGGTATCCATAGTAGAACTGCTTGATTTAAATCATACAAGGCCCAGAAAGAGAAAAAAGGCAGGCAAGGGCAAGCAGACTTTTATAAACTAGTCTGAATGGCAATCTGGAGGAATGAGGATCCAGCAAGGAATAGGCAGGCAATTCTAGAACTCCCTCTCCCCCACCAACAACTTCAGAACTAACCTTACATAACTGGTCTTTCTCAGGAAGCCCCTTAGAGGCCACCCAGGCACTGGGGGCCTTTTCACTTGCCAGCCATAGGGATGACTCCTGGTACTCTGCATTTTGTTTTGGATTTCATTTTTGTTTTTGTTTTTTTTGTTTTGTTTTTTGAGACAGGGTTTCTCTGTGGCTTTGGAGACTGTCCTGGAACTAGCTCTTGTAGATCAGGCTGGCCTCGAACTCACAGAGATCCACCTGCCTCTGCCTCCCGAGTGCTGGGATTAAAGGTGTGCGCCACCAACGCCCGGCTTTGGATTTCATTTTTAAATCATTAGGTAATAGGTATTTCTAGGCTATTCAAAGTTTGGACAGGATTGGGGCAAGTAGCAGTCACCTTCTGTAGCTTTCTTGATAGCCATACAAGAAACCATTCTCTGAAGGTTTGTGTTTATTTTTCTAGAAAGTTTTTACCTCTATTAAATTACACGTATAACCTTTAAACACACAGAGAGACCATATTTTCATGCCCTTGTTTAGCTGAGTGTAACTTGGACATCATTGCATATGAGCATAACTTGCTTCTCCCTGCCCCATAGTACTTTAATGCCACACGGTACTCTAACGTGTGAATATACTCTAACTGCCACTTCTTCAACTAAAGTGCATCTTTTTTGTTTGTTTTGGTTTGGTTTGGTTTGGTTTTGGTTTTTTCGAGACAGGGTTTCTCTGTGGCGTTGGTGACTGTCTTGTAGACCAGGCTGGTCTTGAACTCACAGAGGTCCGCCTGTCTCTGCCTCTCAAGTGCTGGGATTACAGGCATGTGCCACCACCACCCGGATTCTAAAGTGTGTCTTATACTGCAACAATGCTGTAGTAAATATGTGTATCAACGATTCTCTGGACACTTGTTAGTGTATCCAGATCACTACCACTTTTCAAAAGAAAACTTACACTATCAAAATCCACCTTTAATGAGGGATGGGTAGATGGTGAGTCCTGAACAAGCGTGAAGAGTTGAGTTTGAGCCCTCAAAACCCACATTCAAAAGACCAGAGGTTGTCTGTAATCCTGGCACTGTTAGGCCCACATTCAAAAGACCAGAGGTTGTCTGTAATCCTGGTACCGGATAGGAAGAGCCAAGCAGATTCCTAGCACTCCCTGATCTAGCCAAGTCAATGAGATAGCAGGCTTGAGAAGACCCTATCTCAAAAAGGAAGGGCACCTGACATTGACCTCTGGCCTCTCCATATATGCTCACATATGTATATGCATGCATACAAACACAGGCTCTCACACATACATACATGCACACTCACACGTTTTATGAACACTGCCACATTAGCCTCTCAAGAATAAACTGACTTATGCTCCCAGTGAATATCTGACAGCGCATTTTTTCACACAGTAGAGGGAATGGAGATGAGTCTTTGAGGGGCAAAAATGGTGGACATTCACAAGTAACCCACTCCAAACCCACCTGCTTGGCCAGGCCAGAGAAAAACAGATCCAAACAATTAGGGCAACCTCTCTTACCGAACCCCTAAATCAACCTACTTTACTATCGCCACTCCATCCTTCCCCATCCCCATTTCCTTCCCAGAATATTCTCAGCCCTGACTCTTTACAAGAAATAACCTGCAGGAGTGTGGGCTAGCAGGAGGGTCACAGCACTCCCCTGGCAAAGATGAAAGGCTTCCCGAGGGCCTTCCAAGCCTAAGGCTAAACATTACATATTCAGAGAAGACACCTGGCTTAGTGACTGACCAGAGGGTTACACAGTGTCAATACCAGGCAGCTCCGGGTTAAAAATATGAGCCCAAGAGGGCCCGGAGCAGTGGTGTGAGCTGTCACTTACCTTGGATCTGCCCTCAATACCTCACGCTTTCAAACCAGGCTGAAATGTGGAACTTTACATCTATGGCCCCAGAAACCAAAGGCTATTTATCACATGCAAAATTTGGCTTCTGGTACTGTCACAAAATGACTGGGTGGAAGAGATGAGGTGCCCAGGATATACCGACAGAAACAAGTCAACCACTACTTCCTGGGACTTTCATTCTCGGCCATTAACCAGGGCCCTGGGGTATCCTCAGACTCTGACATGGCTCCCCTTCATAGTGGACCAGGGAAAGGATGCCTACTCATCCAAAAACAAAAGGATGCCTATTTTTGTCCTTGAAACAGAAAAAAAATCACCTCCACGTTACCCAGTGTACAGGCTGAGTACTTTGTGTGCCTCCTACCTCAGTGCCCACTTGTTCCAGAGCTCCCACCTCCTTTGAATAATCCATCTAGGCTTTGAATCCACGCCTCTCCCACTGAATCTCAGCCAGCAAATAAAATGGGTCAGCCCAGGTAGACGCCCTTCAAGGTCACCAGGGGAAGAAAGCGGCTAGGTGAATGAGGGCCACTTAGTTGCTGGGGGTGAGGAAGATGAAATAAGTGATACTTCATATTGCCAGTTCTTCCTGCTTTTTAAGAGAATCAAAACAGACCCATCCTTGAGTCTGCAGGACTGTGCTCCTGCCTGGCTCTGAACCCCACCCTGACCCACGTCCACATTCAATAGCTACCACCTCATCCTGGCAGCTGCTACACAAGTGTCCCTGATTTGTACATCCCCTTCCTCTGGGTTAAACAAATCAAGCACAAGATGCTGGCTAAAGTCTGTTTTCATATACATGTGTGTGTGTGCCAGAATCCATTATTTGTCATTTATATAAAATCCAAGGTTAAGGCAACACCTAGTATTTTGCTACATCGGTGAACCCTACCCTCGGGTCTGTCTTTCTGAGGACCCGCTGTAAGGGGTGACAACTGCAAGGGAGGGGTATCTGTGGGGGCAGAAGCTGCAGGGCCTCCAGCAGCACTGGTTCAGACTGAAGATGATGAGAGGAACGGGCTACAGGCCAGGCTTCTACATGCACTGCGCTGCAGGAGATGGGAGAGGTAAGTCTGCAACGGGGAGTGACACCAGTAAACAAAATCTTAAATATCAGGCACGGAGTGCGAGCAATCCTAAACTCCTTTAAAACACCGTAAGTGCAAACCATCTCCGGGGGCCTTCGCTGTGGAATGAGGAAATTCCAACCATTGCTGGTGGCTCTGTTTCCAGTCTGCTTATTACACTCACCCTTCAACAAAGCCAGACCAAGCAAAAGCGTAACCTCAGGGGAGGAGAAGAATGTGAACAAGCTGCAGGTATGTGAGAACAATTTGGGAGAGGAAGACTGGCTGGCCAGCAAGGTGCAGAAACCTGCCCATCTCCCCCACCCACTGAGGTTAGTACGGCTGCTACACTAACTTTTAAATGGGTGATGAGGATCTGAATTCAGGGTCTCTTGCTTGCTGTGGCCAGCTTTTTTACTGTTGAATACCCTTCCCTAAATCCCACGTTCTAGAAAGACATTTATTATTGTTATTATAAATTATAACTATATATCTATATATAAATCATATGTATATGCTTGTGTTACTGTGTGGGTTTGTGCTTATGAGTGTAGGAGCCCAAGGAGTTCAGAAGAGGCCACTGGACACCCTGGAACTGGAGTTACAGGTGGTTGTGAGCCATCCATCATGTGTGTTGGGAATCGCACTCAGGGCCTCCCCCAAGAACAGTACAAACTCTTACCTGCTGTGATATCTCTCCAACCCCACCTTTTTCAGGGACTGAATAGTGCTGTGCAAAAAGTTAAGTAGCCCTGAAGCAGCACCCTAGAACTCCAGCCTGCCCACTCCCTACCCAGAACTACTATATCATGTAGCTCTTTGGGTGAGAGTCCCTCACAGACAGCAAGGAACATTATCCTTTCCCATGACTTCAGGACAACAGTAACTTGCTTAAATGTGTTTCAAGAGGGCTAGGGGCAGGGGCGGGGGAGCAGCAGCGTATAAAGGGAGCAAATCTGGTGGAAGTACATTAGACACACATGTGAAGCTATCCTAGTGAACCAAGACAATCTGATCATAAAGTATTTTAAAGTTGCCCTTCCAAGAGAATGCCAGTGAGAAGGAGAGGTAGGGTAGGAAAGAAAAGGAAAAAGAAACCCACCCTGTTCAGTATATATATCATCAAAACCACAAGCGTAACAAGAACCTAGAAATTTGCTGGTTATATATGAGAAGCTCTTTACTTGAAGTTAGGGGCTAAATATAGACCCAGGGAGTCCTCAGAAACTCTCCAGGGCCCTTTCTAACCAAGGTGACCACTTCTAGACTGTTCCCCTCTTAGCAAGAGGCCTGATCACCCAGGTCATTGGAGGAGACAGGCTGTTGCATTGAAGTGACACTAACCTGAACTGGATAAAATATTGCCTGCAGGGTGGGAAGAGTCTCGGTGAAGAAGTGGTCCCAGACTTCAGCCAGAACCTCAATGCGACTCTCACCTACACATGGGAGAGAAGACGAGAGAAAGAAGAGAAGATGTCATTACTCACAGGAGAGGCCACAGGACAGCTCGTCCTCAAATGTGAAGTCACATACTCTAAGAACTTGTAGCCCAGAGCTGCCGACACCCAGAGATCACAGCCACAGTGTACAGTTGTATATTGATCTGTTTGCAGTTATACACTGCTGTTTACACAGTTGTACACTGATCTGTTTGCACAGTTATACACTGCTGTTTGCACAGTTACACACTGATCTGTGTGGTAATACATTATTTATGATTTATTAAAAGCTTGCCTTGAGGATTCAGAAAGCAAAGTCAGCCACAAGCTATAGAGGTCAGGCAGTGATGGTACACACCTTTAATCCCAGGACTCAGGAGACAAAGGCAGATGGATCTCTCTGAGTTCAGGGCCACCCAGGGTTACACGAGATTGAATCAGTCTAAAAGAATAACAGAGCTCACACCTTTAATCCCAGGACTCAGGAGAGGTATTTAAGACAGGCATGGAGTCTCAGAGCTGGCATTTATTCTCCAGCCACATTGAGGATAGGAAGGCATTGATTCTCTCCATTCATGCTGAAGAGATGCAGCAGTGTGAGGCTTGCTAATAGCTCATGGAGACAGGCTCAGCCCTTTCAGTCTGAGGTAGAGGGAAGAGGTAGAGTCTGGCTGTTTTGCTTTTCTGATCTTCAGCTTGAAGCATGAACCCCAATATCAGTCTCGGGGGTCTTTTATGTTTCATGCTACAGATCTCTTTGCGCAGTTGTGCACTGCTCTTTTTGCAGTTATATACTGCTGTTTGCACAGTTGTACACCAACCTGTTTGCACAGTTGCATTCTCTGGCCTGATTCTGGGGTTGAGCTGTCAGGTGAGAAGTAGAAAGAAGATCTGCAGTATCAACTTCCCCCACTGTTGCACTGTAGCTGGGAGGCACCCCCTGCCTGTGCCTGCTCACCCCTGTCCCCAGGAAGTCAAATGCCACCTACAAGCTAAAGTACACAGGTCACCTCATGCCACTGAAGGGATATGAGAGCAGAGAGCCTGGTTGAAGTGGCAGCTGCTTAATGACCTAGATGTCAGAGCTCATGGGCTACTGTCTGCTCATCCTGAGCAGAGAAACTGGGTCAGCCAAGACGAGACACGGAGACGTGTTTGGCAAAACACTACTAGTTCCATGGAACGAATCTTGATAGACTCATTTAGCATCTTCCGTCTATTAATTTAATGGCCAATAAAAGCAGTGGCTGGGGAGAAAGCACAGAACAAGGGCACAGCTAGTCGCTGACAGCTGCTGAGAGCTGAGGGAGAATGAAGACCTGTGCCATGCTCTGCTCTCCCTGGCAAAGCACTAATCAAAAGTTGCTGGAATGAATTGTCCTCAGTTAGAACTTGAGAGGCTGAGACAGGTTTGTCCTGGGGCAGGTTTGTTCCTATCACGTTTTAGGTTCAGAGCACCAAGACAGACACATCAGTAAACCACTATGTACAGGCCTTCATGGTGAAGAATGGCAAGTGCCAAATGTGTAGGTTTTTGCACATGTCAGGTCTCTCAGGGGTGGGAGTTCCCATCTGACCCAAATAGCTGACATTTCAGAGCAAGGCTTTCAAGTCAGTAGGAACATTTTCTGTTTTCTCTTACGAGAAGGACACTTCTACAATGTAGACTACACAGCCAAGAGGCTCTGTCTCCCTCTCCAGTGTCTTCATCCTCAGCTAGGTTTTCCTTGGTCTTTGGACTATGACTGCACAGGTTTGATCTCAGCCCCTCTTACTCACCAGGCTTCCTCATACCACAGAACCTTTGCATATGATAATTTCCCTGCCCAGACTTCTCCTTCCTTCCATCTTTGCCTAACTTACCTGTTAATCCTCCTCATTTCAGTTAGAGTTTATTCTTACATTCTGACTTTATTCCTCCAGTTAATCTCACACACCCACCATCACCATGTGTGTACATTAGTAGTACCAGTCTTGGCTACACCCTCACCCAACCACTCACACACAACTAATATATGGTGATTTGATTCCTCTCTGTTCCCATTTCCAGTTTAGCAGCCTCAGATGCTAGCAAAGGGCCTGGCATCCAGTAAGTGACTGATCAGCTGCACCGAATCATTTTTCAGGTATAAGCAATACTCATTCAGCGCAGGATGAGGTGGGGGGGGGGATCAAAGGGTCATCTGTTTCCTAAATCCAAATTGAACCCCAAAGAGGAGTAAAAGCTGTTCTGGCTTCTTTGTTCAGAACCCTTATCTGAAGCCTTCTACAATGAAGGGAAGGAGGGAGAACCCTGTGGTGCAGGACTGTGCCTCCTTCCATGCTAACTAAGGTGGAGGCCTCATGGATGCATCAAGGAGTCCTTCCTTCACCCTGGAGCTGGGAGGTACCTTCTGAGAGGCTGGATCTGACTGATGGCTATATAAGTCAGGAAGGAAAGAAGGTTCCAGAAAGTGTGCTGTGAGAACAGCAGGCACAGACCAAAAGAGGAAGAAAGCGGTAAAGGAAACAGGTAGCTTCATTTCCAGAAATAGCCTACAAGACAGAGTCAGCTCGCTACAAAGGTGAAGGTTTGGATGGAAGGTTCTAGATGTCTGTCATCAAATCTGCCCACTGATGTACCACAGGAGTTAAATCAGCAGCAGCACACAGGTTACTATCAAAAAACATCTTGAAAAGCAAGGGCTTTTCAAGTAGAAAGGACTGACAACAACATTGTGTCCCCTGTCCACCAGCTGTCACCAAGTACAGCTGCATACAATAATAAACCCCAGTACAAGCAGAAGGTTGCCAGGGACCTTCACCTAGCAATGGCACAGGGCATCCTGGTTATTCTCAAATTTAGTTTTTGTGACACAAGAACCTTTTCAACCAAACAAAACCTTTCCTGAAGTTCTTGAATACATGAAATCAAAGAGTAGAATCATTCTGTTTGAAGATGAGGCCATCTCTTAAATGTCCTTCTGTGCCTGTTCAGTGTGCAGAAAGGGCTCCAACATCACAACCCCGACTTTAGGAAGCCTCATGGGAATGCCTGCATTGTATCCCTGGGTCCCAGCCATGCTTTGGGTGTACAGGCACAAAATCTTGGATTATTTTTGGTCATCCCATCTAAGCTCAATCTCTGAGTCCATCTCTGCTGAAGGTCACTTGTATCCACACTTCCTGATTTAAGGACATCTAAGTCTTACTCAGTGCCTATTTCATGGAGCTGGTTTTATCCAATTCCAGTTGTAATAGCTGTACTAACTTCCCAGAAGACTGACATACAAGCAGCATGGCCAGGGACAAATGCTTCTTGTCCCTCCCTTGACTGGAGAGCAACCTTCCACATCTGTATACAAACCTGACTCCAGATACAAAGAACTACTAACTTCCTGATCAAAACAAGTCACGGCTGGTGGATGAATGGATGCAGAAAATGTTACCTAGCTATATACTGGAGTGTATGACTTCAAGAACACATGGTGTCTTCTGACATGTCACTTACAAAAACAAAACTATTGTATGATCCCTCTTAGTCAAAACTCTGGAAGCCAGGAGTGAATGGCAGTTATGAAAACATGAGTGCTCAGTGGTATGGAGTTTCCAGTTTCAAGGTGAAGAATTGTGTGTGTGTGTAGGTGCCCAAGGAGGCCAGAAGAGGGAGGCAGATCTCCTGGAGCAGGAGTTACAGCCACAAGTAAGTGCCTGACATGGGTGCTAGGAACTGAACCTAGGTCCTCTGCTAGAGCAGCAAGCATCCTTACCCCATGAACCATCTCTCCAGACCCCATTTCAAAGAATTTATAGTCCTGGTTTTGTTGCAGGATATTCATACACTGTGTGAAGATGTATTGCTGTGACTGGTTTAATAAAAAGCTGATTGGCCAATAGCTAGACAGGGGAGGTTAGGTGGGACTTCCAGGCAGAGAGAAGAACTTGGGATGGGATTTCACTAAATAGACAGACATGGGGGAGTCAGACCTGCAGAATGAAGGAGAGATAAAAAGCCACATGGCACAGTATAAATTAATAGAAACAAGTTAATCTAAGTTATAAAAGTGGAACAAGCTTAAGCTATAGGCCAAGCTTTCATAATTAATAGTAAGTCTTTGTTTCATTATTTGAGGGCTGGTGGTCCGAAGAAAGTCTGATAAGGAAGTCCAACTACATGGTTTAGTGGGTATTTATAGACTTAGGGAAACAAAAAATCACAGCCTAAATGTAATCCAGAGGGAAAAAAATGTAGCATAGCATAGACCAAGCATAGTGTTGCATGCCTATGATCCAGAAATAGAGATGGAGACAGGAGAATCACAAAGTTCTAGGTCATCTTCTGCTATGTAGGAAATCCGAGGCCAACCTGGGATATAAGGATGGAGAGAGAGAGAGAGAGAAACACACAGAGAGAGAGAGAGAGAGAGAGAGAGAGAGAGAGAGAGAGAGAGAGAGAGAGAGAGAGGGAGAGGGAGAGGGAGAGGGAGAGGGAGAGACGGATGGACGGAGAGAAACTTGGCAAAAGTCACTGGAGAATTTAGGAATGAGCTAGGCTGGGTCCCTAGAAGCCCTCAGTGGGATTGAATGGGTGATCAATCCTTTCCTCTGAGACTACCTTTTCTCCAGTAGTCAGTTTCTTTCCATCCAGGCAATTGGGTTCTAAAACCACAGACAGACCAGGAAATTTCACTTCAGCTGTCAGACCACATCCCATTGAGTGAGAGCTTCCTTGTCCTAATGTCCCCAAATGAGGAGCCACTTATGTCTACTGTGATTCCAAGAAACATATTGCAACAGTGAATGGGGACGAGCCTGGAGCATACTAGAACGACCAACAGCATCTATGGTAAAGCAACTGCCTGTATCCCTTCAAAGGAAACCACCTGGTCACACCCATGGAAACCCCTTACCCAGGTCTCCGATAAGTCACCCCATCGCAGTGCATTTTTGCAATGACAGTCTGGGTTGCACAGAGAGGGGCAGCTGGTTCAAACCACTGAATGCAGCAAGAAGCAGGGGTGACTCACTCTCTGGGAGTCTGCTGCTTTTGGACAGGAGCATCTCAGCTGTGCAAACATCAGAGGCTGAGTCACAGCCCCATGCACCAGGGCCTTATACTTGCCTTCACACTGCTTGATCTTCTCCTCCACAAAGGACAGTCCTTTTGCAAGAAGCTGGTTCTGCCAAAAGAGAACAAAGAGCACAAGAGCTAGGAGACTCTGAGGGGGAGTGACCAGCCTTCCTCGGATTCCAACTAACAGCACTGACTTTCCAAGCCTGTTGTGCCAGTCAGGCCTTTAAATTTAAGAAGCCCTTTGTCCTCCTGGAAGGGCAAGACCTCAGAGGAAGACAGTGAGACATCAAACAGCCAAAGGGCAGTAAGCCAAAAGCCAAATGCAGTCTCCAGCCAACCTCTCAAACTAAGAGATACAGAAGGGGCACAGCCCAATTCACTGTTGAGCCCAATGTCCTTGAGACCTGTGATGACTTAAACCCACATGCAGAGCCTAGACAGATGGGAAATTAAACAGAGATAGATGTATTTTTCATCTTAAGAATAAGTTCAAAGGCAGGTGCTGTGGTGTATGTCTTTAATCCCAGAACTTGAGAGGCAGAAGCAGGTAGATCTCTGTGAGTTCAAGACTAGCCTGGTCTACATAATGAGTTTCAGGACAGCCAGGGGTACAAAAAAGGTTCCCACCTCAAGTTAATTAATTAATTAATTAGAGGAACTGGGAAGGTGGCTCAGTGGCTCTGCTTCACCAAAGGACCCAGGTTTAATTAAATCCCCGTACCCATATCATGTGGCTCACAATTGCCTGTAACTCTAGCTCTAGTGGGCTCCAACCCCTCTGGCCTTTGTGAGTATCTGCTCTCATTGTGCACATACTACATACTACACACACACACACACACACACACACACACACACTTTTAAAAAATCAAAAAGAATAAATTTGGGGTTTCTCACACTGAACACACTAGAAAGAGCTCATCTGCAAACTCAGGGAGCTGTGAATATGTGTCCATCAACAACAGGCTGAGCATGGAAGAACTGCACAGAGAGTCAGGCTAATTTTCTTCAGTCATAGCCAGCATGTACCAGAGAATGTGAATCCTTCATCACACTTCAGCTCCGTCAGTGGGAGCTCTCCTCACTTACCAATGGCTGCAGGCCCACAGGAGACAAAACTGCCCTTCCTCGTTCCAGAAGTTATGCTCTTTCCCTCTGCTCTGTGTCCCAAACACAGAGAACTACCCCTGTGTGAGCCACAGAAACTCTGAGATCACTGATGTTCTGGTACCTCTCCAGGCCTCCCTCATTAGGTTATCAAAGACTTGTGCCCCATCCTGGAGAAGGCAGAGAGCAATGGTGGTATACAAACAATAAAACCCATTACTCTCCTCACACTGCCCTTTGTAACACCCCCAAGTTCCTAAAACAGTTATCTTGGTTAGAGTTTCTCCTGCTGTAATAAAACCAAACGACCAAAACAACTTGAGAAGGAAAATGTTTATTTGGCTTACATATCCTGAGTCACAGTCTATTGACGGAATTCAAGGCAGGAACTCAAACAGGGCAGGATCCTAGAGGCAGGAGCTGATGCAGAGGCTATGGAGGGGTACTACTTACTGGCTTGCTCCTCAGGGCTTGCTCAGCCTGCTTAGAACTAAGGACCACCAGCCCAGAGAAAGCACCACCTACAATGTGTTGGGCCCTCCATCACCAATCACTAATTAAGAAAATGTCCTATATAGTATATAGTATATAGTATATAGTATATAGTATATAGTATATAGTATATAGTACAATAGCTTGCCTATAGTCCAATTTTACGAAGGCCCGTTTTCTCAGTCGAAGTTCCCAGCTCTCAAATGACTCTAGCCTGTATCAAGCTGACACAAAAACTAGTCAGCACAACAATGATGATGGCAGTGTATGTGGTTGAGGGAGAAGACTGTGGGTCCCATGTAGGTTTAGGTCCTGCTTAGCTACTTGATGTATCTATTTAGTTTGTTAGTCAGTTAGTTACAGATAAGAGTCTCACAATGTAGCCCAGGCTTGTCTCAAACTTGTAACCTTCCTTCCTTTGCCTCCTGACTGCTGGGCTAACAGGTATGTGCTCTAGCCCCTGCCAGCTTTCACTAGTTTTCTTCTTTTTTCCCCCACTAACTGTATTATTTTATCATTTTAAATTGATTTTAGTATACCCTAATTTTAAAACATTTACGTTTATTATTTGTAATTATGTGTCTGTGTCTGTCTGTGTGGGAGTGTGAACACATGAGTATAGTTCTCACAAAGACCAAAGGCATCTAATCCCTTGGAGCTGGAGTTACAGGCAGCTGTGAGTCAACCACTGTGGGTGGTGGGAACTGAACTCGGGTTCTCTGTAGGAGCAGCACGCACTCTTAACTGATGGGCCATCTCTCCAGCCCCATATTTAAAAATTTTAAAGGACACATAAAATAGTTCTGTATTTGATACCTTTAAATGAAGGTGTGTAATATGCAGTGATGAGCTCACAGTAACTGGCATATCACAGATATTTAGCATTTCTTTGTGTTGGGAACATTAAAAATCCCCATTATCATGATATGACTGGCATATCATTAAATTGTTACAAAAGCTAATGACTATAGACACATACCGTTGTACATCCTTAGTAATTAGTGATGGAGGTGGCAACAGCCTAACATGTTCCCAGGAGTGAGAAGTAAAGAAAGTCAGTGATGAACAGGATGCACTGGGAGGTTCTGGGGGAGTCCATGTGTGCACGCATGGATCTGTGTGTGGTGCACTTGCCTCCCTTCTCCACTTATTTTTTTATTATTATTTTTTTGAGACACAGTCTCTCAATGAACCTAAAGATCACTATTTGCTACAAGAACATTTAGCCAACAAGCCCCCAGCATCCTCCTGCCTCTGCCTTTCCCACACTGGGATTATAAGCACACACAATCAGGCCTGGCTTTTTCATGGGTGTTAGGGAACCGAACTCAGGTCCTCATGCTTGCACAACAAACACATTACCCACTGAGCCATCTCTCCAACTTCTGTACCAAGCAAGACAGTTTATCAAAAGCACTATCACATTTCTGTGACAGATACACACATCCAGAGTCTAAAATCCCACCGAGACTCAGCAATAACTCAATTTTAAAATGTAATTGGCCACTGTTTAATTCCAAGATGGCAGATGGAACCTCAAATCACAGTTCAAATAACACCATACTGGAGTGTATCAATTTTGATGGAACGGAAAAAAAAAAAAAAAACTGCTCATCACAAAACAATCACACCTTTAAATGAAGGTGTGTAATATGTAGTGGTGAGCTCACAGTAACTGGCATATCGAAGATATTTAGCATTTCTTTGTGTTGGGAACATTAAAAATCCCCATTATCATGATACGGGGGACAAAACAATATGGACTGGACAAGCAATTATAACAGAGCCCCAACCTGTTCTCCAGCTCTGGTCCAACAAATTGCATCCTGCCTCTGGGTCAGAAATCAAGAACGCAGCCTGAAGTCAGCTGGTTTAACTTCCTGGCAGCCAAGATGGATTGAAAGATTAGTCAGATGAGGGAAAGAAAGGACAGTCACTCCACCTGAGCACAAATTCCAGTGTGATCTTAGAGTATCTGTCCTAGTCTTTCCTCTGAGTCAGTCCAGGTTCGTAGAACGTCACCTTTGCACTGTTCAAGATTCCTGATGTCAACACTGGTACCCCAGCTTTCCCCCAGAACAAATCTGAGCGTTCCCTTTAATCACATTTCCAAGGCACATACATATTAAAGTGCAACCAAGACTTTCCAGGAGGGATTCACATCATCTTGTTCCAGCTCTATAATTATCTACACTAAGGGAAACAGCAGCAAACTAGGATGCTAAAGGAAATTAAAAAACAAAAATCACTCCAGGTTATAACATGAGTTTATAAATCCTTCCAGCATTAGGAACATATGTCAGTAGGTAAGAGGTACTTGCTGGGCAAGCAGGGGGACCTAAGTTCAAATCCCCTGAACTCATGTGCCAGGAGTGTGGCAGTAAGTACACATAACCCCAGGGCTACAGGGAGTTGGGGCAGGAAGATCTCCCTGAAGTTTGCAGTCTGCCAGCTTGCTCCAGTTTTAGTGAGAGATTTAGCCACAAAGCATTAATGTGGAGAGTGAGAGACAGATATCGGACATCTTCTGTCTTCTACATGCACACAAGCACATGAACATACACATCCACGAATACTCAGATATAAAACACACACACATACATACACACACACACACACACACACACACACACACACACACACACACACACGTGTGCAAACAAAAACTAAACATATCCATTAGGCTTTTAGACCCTTGAGGATAAGGACCACTTCTAACTTTAGTACTCCACTCCCAGCACGAGGCGGGGTGCAGCTGGCACTTGGCAAATCTTTGTTGAACTTAACTGCCTATTTTGGTGACAAGAATTATTTTGTATTTTTAAGGAGTCAAGATAAGAAGTAGAATGTTTTGGAGGGGCTGAGGGAGGTGGCATAGGGTCCCTAAATCTGTCACCATTTTCTTCATTTGGTAAAAATTCCTTTGCCCAGATCAGAAGGAAAAAATTCCAACAGATGGTCCAGAGACTCCTTCCTGGCCCTTAGTCTTCTCCCTTTGTGGAGACATTGGAAGGAAAAATGTGTGTTTCCAAGGAAAGGGAGTTATTTCTGGCTTGGGGGGAAATGACAGAAAACATTCTTTCTAAAGCTCTCATGATACACAGCACGGAAATTCTGTAGCTTGGATCAAAACAAACAAAAGCATGGGGTCTGAAGGAGCCGTTCAGGTCATCTACTGCCTCTCCCTGCTCGGAGCCTGCGGTTGCCATAGTCTGCTCACACAGAGATTTGCTGATATTTAAGAGGTTCCATTTTCCCAGAAGCTAAAGCCCCTTGAAAAGCATGCCACAAATGCTTTGATCTACAGTAACTGAAGTTAGTTAGGTTAGAGTTTCCTTCCCCAGATTCCAACCCACAGGAATGCAGCTCAGATTCCACTAGGAATCCTTCGTTCAGTGCCCGGCTGAATCCTGCAGGATTCTCCGGGGCAGCCAACCATGCAGCTTCCCTTCTCTGGAGCACTGCTGCCTTGATCTCCCTCTCTCATTCACACTCCATGCCAACTTG